CTGGGAAAGTCTTTTGCCTGTAACTGGACGATGAAGATGGATTCAGTATAAGGTATTGTAAGCTACTTCTAGGTTGTTCTTGTTTTTATAATACTTTAGACAGTACAAAGTATTTTACAGGCTTTGCGTTTATTATAGCATAAGATGACTCATGATTAGGACTCCAGCATCGTACCTAATAAGATTTTGTTAGGCAAGTATCAAGTTTGTGAATTACTCTCAGAGGGTTCCAGTGGAGCTAAGTCTGCAGACAGTATTGTGTTAATAGTAGATAATCAATCACAAATGATATAACACATTCCACGTGTGGGGTGAGTGTGACACCAGATTATTTGTATTAATACCCTTGTGGGATATTTTCAAGTTACTACTTTTGAATATACACTCTGGGATAACTTGACTAATATAATAAAAGCTCCATAAGATATCAGATGTACCAATCTAATTCTTAATATAAACCTAACCAGCCATTAAAACACATTTTTTTCCACATTACATTCTCCATTACCCATATAAAAGAAATCATAACAAATGTTCATTCTAAAACGAAGTTAGTGTTTAGTTAGAAAATGAAACATAAGGAAAAGGGGAGGGGTCTTCCGATTTTCAAGGGATCAGAACCTGTAATGTTCGTAAGGATGGTAATATTATTTTACCTCATTTTTAGTGGTTTCACTGGTTAAGGGATCATAAAATTTGGTTCAATGTAGCTGTGGTCAGGTGAGATGAAGGATCGCCATGAATGTGCAGTTAATCACTTGCCAATATCATGTAAACAACCATTAAAAATGTAACAGCACAACTTAACTAATGTTTTAAAATTAATAATAATAATAATAATAATAATAATAATAATTTATTATTTGTACCCCACCCATCTGGCTGGGTTTCCCCAGCCACTCTGGGCGGCTTCTAACAAAGATGAAAAATACACTAAAATGTCACATATTAAAAACTTCCCTGAACAGGGCTGCCTTCAGATGTCTTCTGAATGTCAGGTAGTTGTTTATCGCTTTGACATCTGATGGGTATTTATTAGTATTTATTAATTTATACCCTGCTTTTTGAGAAATATTGTTCACAGAGAGGCATCCATTGTTTTACAAACATTGCAATATATAAAATAAGAAAAAGCAACACATTCTGTAAATTAATCTAATGAATAAAAGAGCAGGGCAGCTTTTCAAATCCAAGGACCCACAGCGTAAAATCCTCACTATGCACTCACTACCCACTAAAAGCTACAGAAAAGAGATTGTTATTATTTATTGAATTTATATACCGCACTATACCCGGAGGTCTCAGGGCGGTTCACAGAACAAAATCAAAATATAAAACCACAGAATATATAATCAAAATAAAAGTAACAACCCAATACCCCCCAATACCCCCACTACAGTTTAAAAGGGCATAGGATGTCTATCAAATCAGCCAGAGGCCTGGTTAAAAAGGAATGTTTGATCTTCAAAGTTCTCATACACATCACAATGGATGAGTCCTGCAGGGTCCCCAGAGGCACAGAGTTCCACAACTGTGGGGCACATATGTGCCATATTTTTCTCTGCTATTCTTGCTAAGTTAACACATTAGAATAGGGATGGAAGCCCTCTGGCCTTCCAGATGTTCTTGGACTCCAGCTCCCATCAGTCCAAGTCAACATTGGCAGCAATTAGGGATGATGTGACTGGCAGTCTGGGAACATCTAGAGGGTGACAGGCTTCCCACCTGTTTCTGAGCATTGTAGAACGTTTTGGAGCCCTTTTTAAGGACCAAAAAGCGATTTGGAAATGCTCTTGTGAACACACAAAATGAAAACAAAACAGGAAATGCAGCAACATCTGGAAGGCCAAGCTTTTTCATCCTTGCATTGCACGATTGTTCTGGGAAGTCTTTTATCACAGGACACCAATTTCCTTCCTTCCTTCCTTTGAACAAGTCCAAGGAATGTCTTTTACTATCTTTTTTGCTTGACATCATCAATGCAGTAGAAGTCTGTGAGTGACCAAAATTGCCTGATTCACCTGAAGGCTGATTCACAGGATAGCCCCCAAAGTAGCAAGACCTCACTTAGTTCAGTCCATCCTTCATATTAGGACACTTGGGACTACCATAAGCTCTTCTTCTTCCTGACCAGAGTTGTTCTTGCACTCTCTATACCCCTTCCTCATTTGCTCACCCTCATCCAGTACCCCAATAGAAGGCCCTCCAAGTTTTATGGTCCTTCAGTCTTCTATAAATGAGGCAGAGATATCTCATTGGATATAATTCAGCCACCAACTAAGCATTCATTGAAATATGCCAGGGAAGCAATGGGTGGATAATGTTAGTGGAAGAGTTGAAAGAGGAAGATCAGAGGTCAAGATCACCACTAATACATTTTCTAGAGTCTACCTTCAGTAGTGTGTAGTACAGTCTTAAACCTGTTTATTCATGAGCTAGTATTCATAGGCTGGATCCTGTAGAGCAGTAGCTTTCAACCAGTGTGCTGTAGCACCCTGGGGCACCTTGAATGATGGTTAGGGGTGCCATGGGCAACATTGCCCTCTGTCCCTCTTTCCTTCCCTCCCTCTTTCGATGCCCTCTTGCGTCTCTGCCTCCCAAAGGCTCGCACAGCTGTTCCCCACCCAGTATTTCCCAGCTTCTGCCTTCTGAACTATGCCCCTCTGCAAACCACTGTTCCAAATCTATACTGTCCTCCCGCTCCTGGGAAGATTCAGGATCAGGGGGTAGGGGTGGGGGTGGCTCCCACCATTCTTCCTCAGTGCAGCCCTCCTCAGCGCAGTCCCTGACAAGGGATGCTCCTCTGAGCATGAGCAAGCTCTGATTCCAACCTTTGAATTCAGCGGGACTCCCGTGTGTTTGGGAGTGCTGTTTTACATTGCAATCCTGCGGTCACTTACAGGGGAGTAAAAGCTCTATGCAACTCTGTGGGCCTTACTTCCTTAGATATGTGTTTCAAAAGTATGTCTTCATTCTTCCTTGGCCTCAGTTCTCCCTGAATACATTTCCCGTACTTGCACATAACCAGAGTTTATGTTAATCCTGAGCTATCATCCCCCAGCCTTATATTTTTTATATTAAAAAAAGGGTGTAGTGATCAGTATCCATCATCTTTCCAACTGCCTTGTCACTACATCAATTAATACAATTGAGCAAAAAATGTCACAGGCCCGGCGGAAAAACCTTTCCGCAGCCTTTCAGGGGGAAGTTTAGTTCCAGCTTTTTCGCCTTGCATTAGCTCCTGTCATCCACAAAACAACAGAACCCAGTGGTGTCAATTATATTTGATTGACTGAGTAAAGCACACACACAAATAAGCGAAAACAATGGACACAAAAATCTATATATGACTCCCCTTGTCAGCGCGAATGCTTGTCTTCTCCATTTTCATGCTGCACGGTGTCCTGCTGCTATGGGCTTAAATGCTTCCTTCAGCCCCCAAACTATCACCAATTAAGTTAGCAGGGTCTTCAGAGGTGTCAAACGACTCCCTGGGCAATTGGCTGTAACTGCTGTTCAATAAATGAGGTCTAATTTATCAGTTTAACTTCACTTTTAAAAACCTAATGTCTCACGGTACCATGTGCTATTTGCCCAGAAAGTGAAGGGATGCCTGCCATGGCGTGTTTTGAAAGTTAGAAGAAGCTCTTGTTAACAGCGCTACATTTTTTTGGTCTGTCACGCCTTTTCTCCTCTTGTTGAACGATGGATCTGAATAAAATATACTCATGCAGCTCATAGTTATACATCATTGGGTCCTACAGAAGCCTTCAGGCAGAAAGCGGATAAATAAAAAACAAATGTGAATTACTGCAGGCTTGTGCTGTCTTTGGAGCACATGATTTTAATGGCACTGGGCTGGAGCAGTGTTTGTTTGTGTGTTTGCGTGTGGATATTTGCATCGAGATTTAGCCTAAACTCTGTTATCAGTGCCATCAGTCCATGCATTGTATATGCTAAATAAAATTGTGGAAGTCCTGAACTTTTGCCTGGGTGGAATGAAAGACCAGATACAGCCTAATGAGCTGGTGCTTGATTCAGACAAGACAAACAGTGTGATGGTCATCAGACAAACTAAACCGGATTGAGAGTATAGCCTGTTCTGGAGAGGAACCAGACTAATAGCCTGGCACTGCTTTTGGACCCAGCATTGGTCCTGGAGGGCCAAGTGTGGCCAGGAATGCTTTTGCCCAGCTTGGACTATTCTACCTGCCACACCACTTCCTGGAGAAGGCAGATCTGACCACTATGAGCCATGCCTTATCATATAGTCTACTGCGGTGCACTCTCTGTGTGGCTGCCCTTGAGCAGCAAACTGTTGCACAATGTGGCAGCCAGAGTGTTTTCTGATGTGTGCTTTTCTCCTCTTTGTTGAGGCCAAATAAAACACCGATCATAGGAAGATTCCTTATGTGGAGTCAGATCATTGGCTCATCTTGCTCACCACTGTCTATACTGATGGACAATGGCTCTCCAGGGTTGCAGGTAGGAGTGTTTTGCTCCAGCCCTACCTGGATATGCTGGGGATTGAATAAATAACTACTGAATTCCAAGTGGTGGCGGTTGGTGGGACAGGAGGGAAAGTCTACAGGTGAATATTAACTTCATCATCATCATCATCATCATGTGAATTTGTATACCACCCTTTACCCATGGAGCTCAGGGTGGTTCACATAGTGCAATATTTACAACTCTTATCACATTGATGAAAAGACTCATCTGATCAACAATATGATAACAAGAGTTTACAAGAACTCTGTTTACACTTCATGGTTTGGCAGTACAAGTGATATACATAACTGGATGCAATGACAAAAAGTTCAGTGAAGTACAATTTCACCATCTCACATAGTTCAACCATTATGAGAGATGGCCAGATCTTTCGATTTTGGCTACTTTCAGTTTCTATTCCCCCTCCCCCTCCAAAAAAAAGATTCAGTTCACCACATTTCTGAATCAGTTTACAATTTTGTAAAAAGAATCCCTCAAAATTTGTCAGAATATATACATATACATACACACACACACACACCCCGGTATATGTGTGTGTGTGTGTGTGTGTGTGTGTGTGTATATATATATATATATATATATATATGTATGCAAACAATGAAACAATGTTATCCAATACATTTTTGTAAGTTATTTTCACTAACCAATAAATTTCATGCACACTTTCACCTAATATAAACATTTTTGTATAGATTTATTGATTGGAAGGAACTGCATTGCAAAATTCAGAGAAGTGTGAATTTCACAAGAAACCTGTGTCTTGGCTGATGATTTCTCAGACATTGCAAATTAAGTAGGGTTCCATTAAAAAGTGACCTGCATCAAATTTCTCCCCCCTTCCTTTCTTTCTTCACCTGTTTTTCTGTTCTTTCTATTCTTCCTTGTTCTTAAAACATATTATTTACTTGATCTGCCTTTGATTCTCCCCCCCTCTTCAATCCTTCCCCTCCTTTCCTGGGCTTTAAGACCTTTAATTCTTGACTGCATTCCCTCTCCTTTCAATTGGAAAATAACTTTAACAATTAATAATTACCTTCAATAACTAAACCAATCCAGCTGCATTCATGATTTCACTTTGGCCTACATCTGATCCTCTTTGTACAAACCCACACTCTATTTAAATTATTTGAAGAACACACTTCTTACCCATCTGCCACATTGATGTGCTGGGATTCCAAAGTCCCTCTTAATGTGTGCACATGCATCTTAAAATACCAGTGGAAAGAAGCAGTAGATCATTTTTCATAAAACCTTTTGGGCCCTTTGTCCTGTTGTGGGCTACTGCCCCCTAGAGCCCTGAAACAAGCTTGCTTATTCAAAAGCGAAGCTCATTTCCTTCCTCTGAATTTCAGTGTACTTTTCTGCTCACAGAGAAAACCAGAACTCTTGGCTCTCTTCCAACCCTTTCTCCACCTACTTTGATCCTATAAATGAACAGGGATCCCCCCCCCTTCAACATAGATTGCCCTTCTTTAGCCCTCTATAGAACAAACACTGGAGTCCTTTAAGTCTAACACAGCAATTTCTGCACTGGGACTGAGCCAGAAATGGAGCTAATCTCAGTCCATTACTCTGCTAATGCTTATCTTGACCTTAGGACTATTTCAAATACTCTGAGAAGTCATTAGCACTTATGGGCATCAGTGCTTTCTCATTCCCACATTCTTCTATTAATTGTTCTTCCAATTCAAGTGAGGAACTGCAGGTACAAAATATTTCTGCAGTAGGCATTAGCGAGTAAATGAAAAAAAGAGAAAGAAATAAAGACTATGGAGGCATGCATTTAACATAAAGCGAAAGCCGGGGGGGGGGGGGAGGGAACACATGTCAAGTTAAAAACATCACAACAGAACAAGGTGAAATAAAGCAGAATACATGAGTGGAATGCGTAAGCAAACACACCAGAAAAACACTCCAGCAATATAAAACAGAGGAATTTAATTTGCATGAGGATAATGACTGTCTTCTCTGATTTAGGAAATAGCACAAGCCATGGAATAAATGATGGTCTTTTATTATTTAGGAAAAGGCACAAGTGGTCATTCATTTTCCCCGACAGAATGCACTCCAAATGGGATGGGCTAATACAAATGCATATTACAGGGCTTCCTCTATTTATTTTTTATAAAGATTTATAGACTGCTCTTCCTACCAAATGCCAGGGTGGTATACCACATGCTCCACAAACACAGAAAGCATAAAACATCATTAAAGCAATACAGAATAATCATAAAAATGACTGGTGCATCTAAAAATGTTTAAGTAGCTGAATAGGTCTGTTGGAATAAAAAAGTCTATAACAGATGTCTGAAAATTAGCAGCGAGGATACCTCTCTGCTCTGCTGGAAGAATGCTCAATGTCATGTGACCAGCAACAATAAATGCCCAACTTTTAGTGGGGGCTGCTCAGGCCTCTGTAACATGGGATTACAGCAATTGGGCTGGAATATATGGACTCTGGCAGGCCCAAGTTGTGCAGGGCTTTGATATGTCAATGTAGCCTTGACCGTAGATTGTACAGTCACTCCAGATTCAGGTGCTATGGAGCAAGAGATGCGTGTCATAGAATAATAGAATCATAGGGCTGGAAGGGACCTCAAGGGCAATCTAGTCCAACCGCCTGCAAAGCAGGAATCTCAGCTCAAGCATCCATGACAGATGGCCATCCAACCTCTGCTTAAAAACCTCCAAGGAAGGAGAGCCCACAACCTCCCGAGGGAGACCGTTCCTCTGTCGAACAGCTCTTACTGTTAGAAGGTTCTTCTTGATGTTTAGTCGGAATCTCCTTCTTTGTAACATGAAGCCATTGGTTCGAAGTCCTGCCCTCCAGAGCAGGAGAAAACTAGCTCGCTCTACTAGAATCACAACATGTGTGCTTCAAAATCAATTGCTTCAGATCAGTTAGAAGCAATGAGAAACTTTCTATGTTTAATAGGAGGACATTCTTACCAGAGGGCAAAGACCAACAAGAAGCTGTATCTCCCAGGGAGAACATCATGGCAAGAGGAAGACCAACCTGGATTCATCTATCAACCATCTTCCATGTAACAGCCTTTGAGATATTTGAAGACAGCTACCATATCTCCTCTCAGTCTCCTCTTTTCTAGGCTAAACATACCCAGCTCCCTCAACCAATCCTTATAAGACTCAGTTTCTAGACCCCTGATCGTCTTGGTTGCCCTCCTTTGCACACGTTCCAGCTTGATATCCAAAAGGATTGAACTTTGGCACACACACGCACTGCAACCAACGGAGCACAACCAACCAAACTCTGGAACCTTTAATCCCTTGCAATGCTAATAAAGATAAATATATAAAGAACCCACCCACATGGTAAAGGTAAAGGTAAAGGGACCCCTGACCATTAGGTCCAGTCGTAGCCGACTCTGGGGTTGCAGCGCTCATCTCGCTTTATTGGCCAAGGAAGCTGGCGTACAGCTTCCGGGTCATGTGGCCACCATGACTAAGCCGCTTCTGGCGAACCAGAGCAGCGCACTGGTTTACCTTCCGGCCGGAGCAGTACCTATTTATCTACTTGCACTTTGACGTGCTTTCGAACTGCTAGGTTGGCAGGAGGTGGGACCGAGCAACGGGAGCTCACCTCTTCACGGGGATTCGAACCTCCGACCTTCTGATTGGCAAGTCCTAGGCTCTGTGGTTTAACCCACAGCACCACCTGCGTCCCTCCACCCACATGATGCTGGCACAAATCCCCACACTAACACTATGCAATACCCCCACCTGTCTCTCTTTCTTTCCCCTTTCTTTCCCTCCAACTGCAAGATGTCCGGGGCATTTCACAAACTCTGAAAAAGACTCTATGAACTGAAAGCAGAGATCCTTCATTAGCAGGGTTGTTGTAACATTTATGATGTGTTAAATACAGGCAATGTATTTATAATTAAGATTTGAAAATTACAGAGGAAAAATAATGATATGCAAGATGATGAATGATTGAATTCGGAAGCCAGGGCGAGGGGGAGGAAGTCAAACAAGATGTATTTGGTGTATAATTGAATGTAAAATTAAAAAAAAAAAATATTGGAAAAGAAAAATATTTTTTAAAAAGAAATTGGAGATCTTTGTTTATTTGTTCATTTCATAACACAAGAAAATCTTCATTAAAAACAAATTTTAAAAAACAATAGCAATGTGCAGAAATAAGGTGTCAGAGTTGGGAATTTGGCTGGAGGGCAGCAAGTAACTTGCACCTGATCTCAGTTCCTTGCTTGCTTCTTTAATCTGGGAGTGTAATTTCTTCCTTTCAACCAGTTGCTTAATCCCAGAAATGTCTGAGATCCAGATAAACTTCATTTTGTCTTAAGTATAGACTGGTCGGTCCTAAAGCAGAACCATTTTTTTTTACTTGTTCAACAATGTTATGAGATAGACAAATAGCTGTGACATTAAAGAATCACCTCAACTGGAAAACCAGAAAAATGACTATGTAACAAGACCATTAAATCCAATACCTTTTATTCTATGTAGCACACCAATACAAAATATAACAGCATAAAAATGTCACAGGACAGTCAAAACACAGTATGTCAATATGATGGAAATATGAAGAGGGGAAAATCAAACTTATGGCAGCGTCCTAATTGGTAAAAATCACAATCCACCGGCAATGATCCTTCAGTGCTGCTGGCAAAGTCCAATCAAAGAGTAAATTGATTCAAATGCTTAGACACAGACTGTAGATACAACAAATGGGTATAAGGCTCCCAGAGCTGAGAGATTTACTGTTTATTTGGGATTTAAGCATTTGCAGAGAGATTCTGCCTCAAAAATAGTAGCTCTGAACTCTCAATACAATGTAAAGCATGGAATGCTGTTGGCTAAATAAACAGGCCATATACCTGTAAAACTGTCTATAAAAGAATATTTGTAAATATGGAGAAAGGCTAACTCATAATTATTAGGTAGTTCAGATATAGTATTACTGGCTAGCAAACCCATAGCTGGCTTGTTTAATCAGTTTATTGACCAGAATCTTAAATCACATTCAGACTATATCTTAAAGTTCTGGTAAGTGAACCACCATTAAACCACAGTTCCATGTTTTCATATACAACAGGAAACTGCAGTATAAGTTTACCAGGATTGGTGCACAGAAGCTGGCATGTGAATGGAGGAGACAATGGCGAAAGTACAGGCCAGATGCATGTTTCCGGTTTGCTAAACTGTAGTTTAATTATCCACAAGTTAATAAAACCACAGGTTGGCATTATGTGCAAATTCAGCCAAAGTAAATTGAGTAGCGCTCCTTCTTCTCAGTCCAGCCTTGTTTGTGTCGACTGTGATCAGTAAGTTAGTCAAGAGAGGATGCTACTAAGGTAATATTTAGAGAAGGGGTCAGGCTGGATGGTTTTCTGGTCCATAAGATCCTTCTAAATCTATGATCATGGAACCGGAGGGCTATAAGTTTCTTCCTATACTAAAACAGGGAATCTTTGAATTGTTACTCTTCCCAAGGGTAAAAAAGTCCCGCTGCATTTGTTACTTTGTGTAGCGTGTAGTTCAAATCCTAGCTAGGTCTTTGTGGAGTGGTGGGACCATTGCTGTATCTCAG